CTGAGCCATAGAGTGTTAATACGTAATTTCATCAAAACCTGGACTCGGGCGATTGCATATAATGATAAACAACCCATGAGGATATTATACATTTTTAGTTATTATTAGGGCAGAGGACTTGTAGCTCTAAAAAATCAAAAGATATGCAAGCACTTATGCACATAAAACCCCTATAGTACGCACTTAAAATATGCATTAAAAAAATTTTTCTACAATAATGTTTTAATCCTTATCGAATAAAATCCCGCAATCCGCATAGTGCGCACACGGCTTACTGCGGTAGATAATGTCGTATATTGTACGACATTATATTGTTAACGATTATCCATCTATTAATAAAATTAATTACAGCAAAATAAAATTATTGGCTTATTGGCGATCTTCAAGTGCTTGTAGGAAAAACGTGGGCCCGCGCCCCACAGTGAAACATAAATAGTAAGTTAGGTACTATAGTGTATGGCGTATATTATATGTTATTTTGGTTTTTGTTGTTACTCTAAAACAAATGATCAAAGATACATGCAATTTTCACTGGTTGGTTTTCACAAGCGCCGGGATTAAACACATAAAAATTAAGGAATAACAGGAATTTTTACTCAAAATCTGTTTTCCAAAAAATTGATTTTGGTTTTTGGTGTAACTCTAAAACAAATGAACGTATAACGTTATAATAACGTAATATAATATTTACCATACATGGTAAATCTAATAATTTTAAAATAGTATCATATTAATAGTTAATACCACTTTTTATTTTATTTTGTTAGTTAAAATTTAATCAATAATAGTAATAATTGTTAAAATCTATGGTAAGTAGTAGGAAACATAATAGGTACCTATACTGATGTACAATATATAAATATGTATTATATAGGTACAGGGCCGGATTTAGGAATGTAGGGCCACTGGGCCCATCCTTAGAAGTAGTTGATGAAAAGTAATTTATGTGGCCACTTTTTTTATTCCCATGATTTTTTATATGAGCCGATGGAACGTACGTCAAACCAGCCCCCCCATTTTCAAAATATTGAAAATTTATTTTTCTATCTTTTAGTATGCTTTTTGTACGAATTTGTAAGCATTGTTACAGTACATGTATGAAGAAAGTGGCACAGATATATCAAAAACCCGTCGGGGGGGGGGGGGGTGGCGAGACGTCACCCCAGCCCCCGACATGGGTTATTTGAAATTTAAAATTCATACAATAAAAGCTCTAAAATTTAAATTATTTGAACATACTTAGCGTATTTTTGAGAAATTTGTAATTTCACAAGTGTATTTATTTGAACATGATGTACGTGGGTATTGGCTTATATATTATCCCAGGAGTACATATAACGTTATTGTTGAAAATATCGGGGATAAAACTATGGGAATAATTTAGTAAACATGTGCAATTCATTTTGAAGCTGTGTTTAACAAAATTATACAAAAACATTTGTGTATACCTAATATTTTAAAATGTCGTAATTAACCACAACATAAGGTCTTTGAATTTTTGGCGTAGAAACAAAAACGTTATCTGTAGTCCTGGACTATTAAAAAAACTACCCTCTTATAATATGTTAAAATAAATATAAGAGTTAAATTATAAAAGTTTCAAAAATACGATAGCGCGTGGTAACAGTTATCAGCAATAATAATAGGTAATCTATTAGGTATATATTATAAAAATACAAAATAATTTTCAAACTCATACAGTCATACAGCCTACTTATAATAAATTGTCTTAATTATTATTGTTTATATGTTATCTTATAGTAACATTATATTCTTAAATAAGTAAAAAGACAAAATATATTATTTACATGTACTTTATTATTTATTACAATTAATTATGAGAAAAAACAGTTTGTTAATTTTTTGTTAATAAGGTTAGCTGGTTATCACTTATGACATTTACAGTGATACCACATCTCCCCCTTTTTTAATTTAAAACATCCAAAATATTCTTAATGCTAATTTACATAATTATAAAGAGATTTACAATATGTATATAATAATAAAACTTAGCTTATAACATCAACAATATTCATACAACTTACAACTAAATTATTTTATTGACATTCCCTTGCCTACACACCCTTTTTTTTTTTTTTTTTTTTAATATTCTAATCTATCTGGTTTTTTAACCTGTCTGCCCGACCTTGTCGTTATGGGTGTAGGAATTTTGCTTTTTTCCTTTAAAGGTTTATGTTTATCTATGTGCATAGGTGAAGTTGTAGATCCTTCTAAGCTTAAAACTTTCCTTTTTCTTATGTGAATCACATTTCTTCTCAATATTTTGCCATTTTCCATCTGGACTTTATAAGACCTAGGAGTTTTCAGTTTTTCAACAATCTCACCCTTCTCCCAAATTTGAGTTTTATAGTTTTGTACATAAATTTTATCACCCTTATTATATGCAATTTCTTTCTTTACAGCGTTTCTATCATAATATATTTTTTGTTTTTGTTGGTTTTTTATCATATGATTATGTGCATCTAAATTTAACTTTGGCAACATATTATAAAATGTGTTTGGGATTTTACTACGTAAATGACGATTAAGTCACAACTGTGCAGGGGTATAATCTAGTTTTGCTACTTTAGAATTTCTATAATTTAATAGATAGAGTTCAAGATCCTGATTATCCTCATTACTTTTTTGTATCATTTTTTTAGCGATATCAACTCCTTTCTCAGCAAGACCGTTGCTCCTCGGGTAATGAGGACTCGACGTTTTTACCTCAAACTCCCATTCCTTAGCAAATCTTTGAAATTCCACACTACCACATGGCATATTGTCAGCAATTACCTCCATTGGTATACCAAATTTACTGAACAATGGTTTTAACTTAGAGATTATAGTCATGGTGTCTTTTTGCTTTATTTTTATAATTTCTAGCCATCGAGAGTAATAATCTACTACTACTAAATAATTTAAACCTCTAAACTCTGCTATATCCAATCCTATTTTGATAAATGGTAATTTTGGAATTTCATGATTTATCAAAGTTTGTTTGATTTGGTTTCTTTTAAATTTCTGGCAAATATTACAACTTTCAACCAAACCTAATATGTCTGAATTAATACCAGGCCAATAAAATATTGACTTGACTAGAGATTTTTGTTTTTGAGCACTTAAGTGTGTTTCATGAAGTAATTTAAGTATGGTTTTTCTTAAATTTTTTGGGATTATTAATTTATTATTAAAATAAACTAAACTATCTTGTACTGTTATATCTACTTTGTTATTACAATAATGTTTTATTTCTCCATTTATGTTCTTATTTACATTTTTAGGCCATCCCTCTTTATAATATTTAATAACTCTAGATAATATTTCATCGTCTTGAGTTTCTTTTTGAAATAGTTTAAGCTTTTCACCTGATATTATTAATTCTGGAGCTACTTGTACAGTATGCACTATTTCAGTCAATTCAGAATCATCATTAACAGGTCTATGTACTATATTTCTAGACAATAGATCTGCAATAAATAATTTAGGTCCTGGGACATATTCTAAATTAAATGTATACGGTAAAGTTTTTATTCTTAATCTTCTCAAACGGTTATTTTTTATTTTATCTATTGGTTTTTTCATTAAGGACACTAAAGGCAGATGATCATTCTTAACAATTATTTTACTGCCATATATATAATTATGAAATTTAGAAAGGGAAAATGTCACCGACAACAGTTCTTTTTCTATTTGCGCATAGTTTGACTCAGTTGATGTTAATGACCTAGACGCAAAGGCCACCGGCTTGCTATCTTGTAACAGACAACATCCTAGTGCATTTTGTGAACTGTCACACTGTAAAACTATTGGTTTGTTTATATCAAAATTATTCAATATTGAAGCTTCTGATATTAAATTTTTAATTTTATTTAGTAATTCTGTATTTTTATCAGTCCATTGCCATATCACATTCTTTTTTAATAGTTCCCTGTATGGAGAGCTTATTTCAGATAAGTTTGGAATAAATTTCCTAAGGTAATTAATTGTTCCTAATATTTGTTGTAACTCTTTTTTATTTTTTGGTATTCCTAATTCTTTTATTGCTGTGATGCGATCATTGTCAGGCCTCATTCCTTCCTTTGAAAACAATAATCCTAAATATTTTACTTCATTTTGGTAAAATTGTACTTTATTTGAATTAAATTTTATGTTATATTTTTTTGCTCTAGCTACAACTTCTTTTACTGTTGTATCCATTTCTTCAATGGTATTCGTCGCACACAGTATATCATCAAAATAAACAGTTACATTGTCTATATCCCCAAAGTATTTATTGGTTAATTTTTGAAAAATTTCTGGTATAGAGGCTAATCCAAATGGAGCTCTCAAAAATTTGTAGCATCCAAAAGGACTGCTAAATGTACAATAATCACTGGATTTTTTATCCAACTTTAATTGATGAAACCCATCTTTCAGATCAAAAACACAAAAAATATTTTTATTCGTTAATTTAGGTATGATTTCTTCTAAAGTAGGAATTGGATAAAATTCTCGTACTATGTACTTATTTAATTCACTTGGATCAATACACACTCTAAGTGTTTTGTTTGATTTTTCGACTATTACTATATTATTGACCCACTCTACAGGCTCATTTACCGGTTCTATGATTTGTTTATTAGTAAGAGTTTTTAAGGTTTGCTCTAATCTTGTCTTTATCGCTAATGGTACTCTACGAGGAGGATTCGCCTTTGGAACTACTCCATCAATTATTTTAATTTTTACTATATCAGGAAAAGTACCTAAGCCTTCAAACACCTCTTTATTTGTACAAATAAACTTATCAAGTTTACTTGATTTGTTAACATTTAATTGATTAATTCTTTGTACTAGATTTAAACTTATACAAGTATTTAACCCCAAAATAGGAACACAGTTTGGATGATCTATTATTATAAACTGTACATTTTTGACAAATCCTTTAATTTTACATTTTAACACTACAGTGCCTATTGTACTTAATTTATAACCACCATACGACTCTATTTTAGTCTTTGTTTGTTGTATTGGCTCTTTAGTATTAATTATTTTATACCATTTATACGGCAAAACATTGGTCTCAGCTCCTGTATCCAATTGAAAGTTAATTTGAACATTATTGACATAAATTATTTGAAACCATTTTTTATAATCTGTTTCACTTAGTTTAACTTGATTTATTGAAAAAATTAAATCATCATCATCATTAAGCTCAGTTTCAGAATCAACTGTATTTATTAAATTTTGCTTAAAAAAATTTTTATTTTCTTTTTTAAAATTACTTTTATTATTTTTATTGATTTTTGGAACTGTGTCAAATTTAGATTTACATAAGCTACTAAAATGATTTAATCGTTTAAACTTGTTACATACTTTTCCATAAGCTGGACATGCATTAATTGAATGTGTATTACCACACCTTGTACAACTGTTGATGGTTGCTTTTGATTTTGAAGATGAAAACTTCTTGTTGACTATATGATGAACTTCCGCTGATTTTCCCAACTCTTTGCAATTAATTTCTGCCGCCTCCACCGACTGACAGAATGACACCACTTTTTCTAAGGTCATATCCTCTCGTAACAACCTCTCCAACGTATCTCTGCATTGTATACCCAATATAATTTGTGTCTTGAGTAACTTATCCTCCAGCACACCAAAATTACACGGCTTGATGAGTTCTTTCAATCTTGTTAGATACACATCAAAACTATCATCATTTTGTTTAGCCGTAAAAAATTTATAATGCGCCATAATTTCATTCGTTCTTGGTGAACAATATTTTTCCATTCTATTTAGAATTGCAGAAATTTCTTTATCTTTCTCTTTTTCTGGCGCTAAAGTGTTGTACACTTTTAATGCCTCTGTACCCATCAAGTTTAACAAACGCGCTACTTGTATTTCCTTAGACTTACCATCTGTTTCTGTGGCAGTCATATATATTTCCACTTGTTGTTTGAAAAATTTGAAATTCTGCGTCATATTCCCAGTCATTTTAAGTGGTGCTGGTTTGTTGAACTCCATTTCCGATCTTTTATTTTACAAATACACAATTTTATGAACGTAGTTTCCGTTTACGACTGCGCCATGTTTATATGTTATCTTATAGTAACATTATATTCTATAAGTAAAAAGACAAAATATATTATTTACATGTACTTTATTATTTATTACAATTAATTATGAGA